TTTTTTTCTCATCCTTGAGCAGGAGGTGACAGTCAAGTTTCGCAGAGCCGAGTCGCTCTCCAGTGCACTGAGAGAGGGCCACAAGATGCTTTTGGCGAGCATACACGAGATGCTACAGTACGTTCTCTACCTTCGAAGTGCTCCTGCGAAAGCGGCTGCTTTGCTGTCGACGGTCGAGGACGAACCGACCAAGAACGCCGTCCTGAAGGAGCTAGAGCAAGAGTGGCGACTGGTACTTGCTCTAGAAGACACCCCTCTTGGAGCAAGCCTCCTTCGGCAGCACTGCAGCTTTTGCTCCTTCCAGCAATACAGAGAGGTGATGACAATGTACGAGAAGAGTGCCTGGAAGATGACCGCAGAGACCGCGGCCCTGACGGCCTCTTGGTTCCCGCCGACGGCTTGGTCAGCATCGCTCGAATCCATTTTCGGAGACCTTCAGGATGCTGTGAAACGCTCTGGCCGCAGTGACTGCGGCTCACTCCCCAACCTTTTCGCGGTTGGGGTACGGTCTCTGCAGAACCGTCTTTGTGTGCAGGATGGATCCACCGCTCAGGTGAAGTTGCAGGCTGATGATTGGGCAGGAACACAAGCCCTCGGGGTGAAGCCGAAAGCCTTCAACCCTGCCTCTGCTCCCGCTTGTTCCTGGGGTGTATGAAGTCTTTCCTTTTATTTGAGATGTTAAAGAATGACTTGAGCATGTTGTCACCAGCCATCAAGAACCGAGCTTGCCCCAGGCAAGAATGTTGCGGTGGACAACATCCTGAAGCCGTTTCCAAGCACGACCGCCTTCTTCCACAACCACCACTGCCTCAACTTCATGCTGGGCCTCCGCAAGGCTCAACAGCACCCCGCAAGCAGACCAGGGCTGCTTTTTCGTGCCTGTTAATTTGCCGACAAGCACGAACCGAGGCAGGGCAAGAACCCGGCACAGGAAGCAGCGAACTTCTGGGTCCAGGCCTGCTTCTCGTCTGGCATGCTGCTGAAGTACTCCGGCAAGTTCTACTTGGCCACGGGCACCACGCCAGCCGTCCTCACCGCATCTGAGACTGATTATAAGCTTTACACGTGTATCGCTTTGCTCCGAAAGCATGTGCGATGTTCCCCGGTCTGAGGCTGTCTGCTTGAAAGAGATTCCCTATGTCTTCAAGGGACCCCTCCCGGCGGCGACGGCCGACGAGACGCGAATTCCTTGCCATCCGGCCGACAACGGGGATCTGCTGAGCGAGGCTTCGCGCACACGTGCTCTGGTGCTGGACTGCGGAAGGCGGGGATCGGACAGAAGTGCTGCAAGTCCGAACGAATTTCGATTGCTGACTGCTGCAGGAACATGATTCAGCAGCTCCGCTTCGACTACGAGGAGGCTTCTGGGGTAATTGGCACGACACAGTGAACTGATTGTTCATGGTTTTTGCAAGGTGAAGCTCTGTGACTACACCTTGCACGTCTGCGAGGCAAACCTCGCAGACAAGTGTGGCTCGGCAGTTGTGCTGAGGCGAAGCCCTCAGGAACTTTGCTTGCTTTGCTTCTTGGTGCACTCCGAGCTCATCCTCTCGAGCTCCAGTGCCTCTTTGACGGAGTTGCTGCAGAAGCACGACATCCAGATGCCCAAGAACTCAACGAAAGCTCAGAAGGTGAGGAGAATCTTGGCTATGGACAAGGTGAAAGAGGCCTGTGCTGCCAGCACCATCGCGAAGCTGCTGGCTCGAATGGACGAAGCAGATGCTAAGAAGAGAAACAAAGACAAAGACAAGAACGACGATGATCTGGACGAGGCGCTTTTTGTGAGAACACATTCAGACATGTTCTGCTGCGGCCCTGAGTGAGAGACCGACCGAAAGACAGAGTCAAAGAAAGAAGAGATGTAGGGAATGAGAGACATCATCGCTCACGAGGCGGCAGAAGTCGAATGGGAGGAGCTGCAGGAAGATCCTGCGGCACAGGCCTGCAAGGAGCTGCTTGCAAGGCTCGACGAGGAAGAAGAAAGAGAAGAAGAAGAGAAAGAGAAGGACGGGACCATCAGCTGCTAGAGCTCTGTATGTTTAGCCTCGGGTTCTGACGAGCTGCAGGAGGGCGAAGCAATCCCGCAGCCGCCGGCGGAGCTGCGGGATCGAGCCTCGCGGGCATTGCTTTCCTCGACCGCCTCTTTGCCCGAGGCTTTGGTGCGGCAAATGCCAATTCCAGATGGGGCGGCGATGCACCAGACCATTCATACTGATTCTACACTTCCGCATTTTCAAGGAAGGTTGCTCGGGAACTGCTTTCACGAAGGAAAGCATCTCGCCAGCACCCATAGCATGAGAATCAAGGGTCATGTTATCGAGCCGCCACTGAATCGCTGCAACCAAGGTCGACTCATGCTGCCAGCTACAACCCGGCAGTTCCTGCAGAGGAGCTGGACAAGAGGAAATCCACCCTCAAGAGTGTGACAGCCATGCGAAGATCGCAGACCCAAGCCTATTATATAGTGTGGACATGGTTGTGCAAAGCAACCGGGTCTACTCCGCGAGCTGCGAAGCGCCAAAGGCGAGAGTAGAGGGTTAGGGGACTGATGCCGAAGTCTGAGTATTCACTCAAGACATATAAAAACATGCTGCTCGAGACGCTGGCATCAAGATTTAGCTGTGAGAGCACGGCACGGCAGCGGGGAACCAGAGGCCGAGAAAAACACATGAGCGAGCACGATGACAGCTTGGAAGCACCCAGGCTTAGCCAGCATGCATAGTGAAGCCCTTGATTTAAAGCGTTCCGGGATTTAGTGATTTCAGTCTAGGCAAGAATTCCGGAAGTGCTGGAATTCGGAGCACAGGCTGTTCTCTACTGACCCCTGATCCATATACTTTATTAAGCGCCCTTCGAGCCAAACAAGCAAAAAAGACTTAATAACTCCTTGGGGTGTAAGTCTTGCACTATTAGATATGAAACACAATTCCTGAGAACACTAAACAGTAAACTCGAGTTTAGGACCCTAAAATTCAGAGTTTTGGGTCGTTCCCAATACCTTCAACCCTCAAACTACATCAAATGCCAGGCTTGAAGACCTACACCTGCGACTAAACCTTCTGTGTCTCAGGAGTAGGGCTTGGCATCAACAAATTTCCCCGGTCTTCGGTGTTCTGAGAGGTTTCGGTGGGCGCTGCCTGAAATCTTCAAGGCTCGTGCTGTAGTCGTTGCCTAGAATGGACCTAGAACTTAACTTACCAAGTGCCAATCTCTGAGGTTAGGTCACCAAAATCCCAAACAGCCCTAAGCCTAGGTTCCAAGCTTGGGGCCACGAAGACGAGAGGAGAGGTTTGGGATCCATTGGTTTAGCGTTTGGGGGTTTAGGGTTTAGGGTTTGGGGTTTAGGGTTTAGGGCTTCAGATCTGGGGAGCCAGTCCCAGATCATGGTCTAACAAGGCTCCGCTTCTTTAGAGATTTGTGGCGATCACGGCCTTTCCCAAACAGAATCACCCGCAATGAAGCACCAACCAACAGACAGACTGGCTAGCAACGTGCTGTCTGTCTGTGTCGGTACGACTACATAACAGAAGGGTTGCTCTAGTAATCAAACCTACCGAGCTCGAACATATCCATGCAACTGCCTGCCAAATCTATGGCTCTTCGTGCAAGACCTATCAATACTAATCACTACCAGGAGCCCAGAGAATCATCACGCTAACTCAGGTTTCGGAGTTCATCGAACGGGGATCTCAAAGGACTACGATACTTCATGGTGCTTCCATATAAGCAACACTGACAGCAGCTTCCCTGCAAGTCGCGCTACAACTTCAACCACTCTGAACCCTAAAGTCGAACCTTCTATCCTCAATCCTTTGCCCGACATCCGAAGACCTGAAACCCTGCGCCCCCCAGGGCTTCGGGTTGTTACCAGGGGTTATAGGGGTTTCCCCACACCCCGAACACACTAAGCACCTCCTCTTCATCCTTTTTCTCCGCCCGGACGGCTCACATCAGTGCTTATGCAGGGCTGCCAGAGCCAGGGCGAACGAATACCATGGTGCATGCGAGCCCTTAGCCCTGAACCCTAGCATGGGGGCATGAATACTTGGAAAAGAGGCGTGGGCAAAGAATGGCAGGAATTTATCATTCCAAGGTTTCCCAACCTTAAGCATCCCCTGGAGCTTCCTGGGGGATGTCTTGACACTAGACATCTTCTTTGCTAGGCATCCTCAGTCTTTAGGATGGTATGTAGCTGTAATTAAAATTAAAAACTTACAGACCTTCGCATGGGCTGTTCTGCTGAAAGATGTAGGGCTTCAGGGAAACAGGAGATTGGACAAACAAACTTTGGGGCCTTGAACAAAGGGTTTGGGGTTCGGTATTGGATGTTGGTGATCTGGATGGTGCGGGGTGGTTTCCGGGATGTCCACATTGAAACATAAATCATGACAAAAGCTGACAGTAGTTGCCATGAAAAAAGCAGCAACAACAAAAGCAGCCGTGGGACAACAGCAGCGAAACCAACGGACGAAGGCAGCAAGTAGTACTCATGTTGATCGACTCGACAAAAAGCCAGTCCATACCTTGCACCGCTACAGGTAGCGATTACCGTGAGCCAAGACAAGTTGCCGCCAAAATGCAAATCTCGTCGGCCCTGGTTCCGACATTCTGGTATAGGTGAAACTGACCAAAGCCTCCCTCCAAGGCCGCGGATGGAAGCAAGACAGCTCTGAACACCCAAGTCGTCTTGCATCCGAAAGAGTCTCTATGCCCCTTTGCAAGAAGTGTCCCGTATGCAGACAACGTCTGAAGGCACTTCTTTTGAATTTAGCCGAAACACCACGGCTGTAAAGCACGAGTTGATGTCATGTGCTGCAGAATCAGATAGCCTTCTACTCTATTCAAAGACCTGGCATCTATCTCCAACATGCCTACCACGCATGCAGTTCCACAGGTTGTGCAGAACGGAACACCACTCCACCAACAGAACACGCCCAGGTCAAAACCGATGCAAAGACTGAAATAATGTAGGAGCCTTCTTATTATAGTTATAGTATAATATACCCCAAACTCTATTCTAATTATTAAGATCCCTATGTTACCAGGACAGGGCTGCTTGGGGTGGGTGTTGCGGCTCTTGACAGGTTGCGCACTCCATAGAACCACTGCAAAGGCCCGTCGAGGGAGAGTTTACTCGTTGAAAACAGGACCCTGTGCCTATCCCCAAAGAGCCAAAGTAGAGCAGTGCCGCAGACAGCATAGCACCTAAAGCAAGGCTCCAAGTCCGACACCCTGCCTGAAATGCAATAGCCTGCTACCTCTGTCATTGAGCATGAACCCGAATAGCCTGAACCCTTGATGGGGTATTTTAGATAGCAGATGGGTCGCTTGAGCCCTCTGCAGCAACAAAGTGTCACCAAACTATCAACCACAAACTTGCTGTAACTTTGGGTGGGTGTAAAACCGAAGAACCGACTCCTTAAATGCTACTTAAGCCTGAATTATATCTGAATAAATCTTAAGCCTCCGCCTGAAAGGACTAGTAGGGAGGACCGAACTCAGCCGCTTCCGCGGCGAGGCGGCTTCGTTTCCTGGGCTTGCGATTTAGGGTCTTAGGGATTCTTTACTTCACAAAGGTACCTTTAAGGAACAAGTCCAATTAAAAAGATAAAGTATAGTTTAAAAAGCTTAAGTAAAGTTTAAAAAGATAATGTAAAATTTAAAAAGATACAGTATAATTGAACAAGATATAGTATAATCAAAAAAGATACAGTATAATTTAAGAAAGATAAAGTATGGTACTGCAGAACCCAGCTTCTGCTCCTCGGCCAACTCGCGCTTCCTCGGCATAGGATTTTCCGGCCCCGGAGCTTCTGAAGGGGAGCTTTCGGGTTCACCCCTTAAAACCTAAACCCGAGTTAAAGCTCAAAAAACGGGATTAAAGGGTTTAGGGTGGCGGGGGGGGGGTGCTTAGGAATCGAAGTTTCGAAGCGCAAGTTCCTGGCTCTTGCGGCTTAGGGCTCAAGCTGGAGGTAATATGTGCTTCGAGTCTTCCAAAACCTGGAGTTGCAATCGTTGGCCAGCAACGGCAATCTGTGGCGGAAGCCGCGCTTGCAAGCTCAAGACGGTCAGTCGCATTTACATACATCTATATATATATATACATACATACATACATACATACATACATACATACATACCCTACCTGCATCTATAGCTTGCCGAAGTCACATGACACTGCAGTCAGGCCCATCGCTATGAATAAAGCAGGTTCCCAAGACATGTGCGCAGAGAGAGAGAGGGATGGTGCGGAACATCGCCCAACTTTCAGACTTTTAGACTCAATCGACTTGGGGTGGCGTTGTAGAGAGGGCTTAGGGCTTATCGGGTGTATCGGGCTTATACGGTTTATGGGGATTTCTAAGGGCTTTTTAGGTTTGGAGTTTTGGGCCGCCAGGAAAGCCGAAGGTTGCCTGAACAGTGCTGCCAGCTGGCGCTCGCACTGCTAGCTCGTGATGGCCGCCAAGCCTGGTCTGCAAAAACTACGACTACTGCTGCAACTGCGTCCGGTACTGCTAGCAGAAGTACCAGTACCAGTAGCAGTAGTCGTGGTCTTGGTCGTGGTCGTGGGGTCGTAGACTTCGTCGTAGTAGAACTAGCAGTAGCAGTAGTAAGTAGTAGTTGTCGTCGTCGTCGTAGTAGTAGTAGTAGTAGCAGCAGGAGTAGTAGTAGTAGTAGTAGTAGTAGCATTATTATTATTATTATTAT